AAATTATGCAAAGTTTAAATGTAACGTCCGGCAATTGGTACGTTTTTGATGCAAGTCATTTGATTTAATACAATATAAAAGAAAATAAAAATTTCAATAAGATGGCATTTTAGTGATTTTACAATCATTATTCAAATATGTGTCCAAATAAACATAATTTGAAATAAATGAAATTGAAACTTTATTTTTACAGAAATATGTCTGCTAAATATTTTCACCTTTGGGGCAAATTAAATTCTGAATTAAAACTTCAAAAATGGAATCTTAGATCTGAAAAAAAAATATTTACAAATAAAACATTAAAAATGTCTAAGGTAATTCCTATGTGAAATGGTTCAAAACGAAAAAAAAAAACCTCGACGTTCAAATTAGACATTGTAACATCTTTTCATATCCTTTTCATATTCCAATTTGAAACAATGATCCGCCGAAATATATGGCTGAAATATTGCCGACTTGGCGTTTAACAATATACAATCAATCAATCCAAATAATGAATTTATATTTTGCTTCGTTGAAAAAATCAATATCAGAAGATATTTAGTCCTCAATGAAATTGACCATTCATAGTTGCTTATTGTGTGAAAGCTTATCTAATCAGTAAAAGGATTAAAACATTGACAAATAAAATAATGCTGTTGGAACATATTTGCAATTGGTAGCAAAAAATTAAAGTGATATGAATATCCTTTTAGTTACTGAGAATTGATGTGTTTTAGGAAAGTGATTTTGAGAAAATTATGAAGGAGAGTTTTTTTTGACATTTGACAATATTAAGACGCGTCACCAAGAAAACATCAACAAAATAGATATTTTTACATATGAAAATGTGCCTATTTATCATTTCTTGAATAGGGATAGAATATCGACATGGTGTGCGAACTTCCCAATAGCCCTCGTAAATAGATGCCTGAAAATTGTATATCTCTTTAAAAACTTCTAAATTCTGTCGACTTAAGAAAGTTAAACAGAACCAAAAAGTTCTTCATTCAATTCTTCCCTTTTCAGATCTATTACAGCGCCCCGTTATTAGCAGACCTGTGTTTGTATTCTTATGAAGCAGAATTTGTGCAAAAATCTTATTAGTGAAAAGAAAACACTTGCTGTGGCCGTCAACTCGACATTAAGATATATCGACGACATATTGCCAATAATCAATGGTAATTTCCATTTTTATGTCGATACGAGATATCCTGGTGAGCTTCAGATAAAACATACCACAGTGTCTGACACATCTGTTTCATATTAAGATATTTTACTCGAGAAAGACGTTAATGGTAATATATATAACATCCAAGCTCTATGATAAACGGAATGACTTTTACTTTTCTATTGTCAATTTCCCCAACTTATGCAGAAAATTACATTAATCACCTGCAAATGGACTTTATATATCTCAGTTGATTAAACACATCTACTTCATATAAGGATATCTATGTAGAGAATGACATCTGTTGCAAACAAACAACTCAGTTTATGACTTATCTTAGTTTATGATCTATCACGTACAAGTTTATGACTTACAACTTTTCCCGATCATGACTAGGAGCACGCGGCCGGTGTGACTGGTCGGCAGGGGATGCTCACTCCTCTGTGGCACCTGATCCCACCTCTGATGTTTTGGAGGTCCTTGATTGCTCTGCTGATAATTTTTATTGATATTTGGACTTTTGATCTTTACTACTGTTCGTTATCTGCATATGTTTCATCTAGAAATATCGTACTTGATAAGACGACGCTTTATTGTGTCTTATAAGTAACAAAGAACACAGGTAAGTAATACAGTATGACCTGTTTTTGACATTTGATATTTTACCTTATCACAGAAAATTGAAGAAAGGTGAACATTTTGTCATGGATTTTGAGTCTTTCTTTGTTTGTGAGTAAACATTACGACGACATTTTTTCGTATATAAACTTTTTTACGCATGTTACAAAACCGATCAAACACAAAATCTAGTACTTAAATTTATTTCAGAAAGAAAGGAAATGAAATATTCATTAATATCAAATTTCTTAGTAAATAACTAAATTAAAGACTTTTATGATATTATTTTTACCTGATTCAGATAAGAAAGGAAAACGTGAATTTTCATGTCTCGTCATGATTAATTTGTACACTTCATTTGTTAAAACCATTCTGTTTGTATACACAAGTATTCTGATGGTGATCATTCATGGCACCTGAACCTATCACTGATGTCCTTGTTTGAACTGCAACATTTCGTTTGTTTCAATCGAATTTTGAGGTCGATTACTTTTTCTTTTCTTTAATTTTTTTTATTTTTTCATACGTTGATCAGATCCGATTCATCGGAAAAAAAGAAACCTCGGAATCCGACACATCTGCTTTATATGAAGATATCTTTTCCTAGGAAGACATCTATTGCAAACTAAAAGCTTACTTTATGACTTCGACTTTTCTATCGTCAACTTTCTTTGTGTATGCAGCATATACTCGCACCATTATCAACATTATCACTTTCATGGGGGACTTATGTCCTCTAGCTTATTCGATATAAAGAAGATGTTTGTCATACAATTTTTTTATGCGAGCTAAGCTCCTGACAATAAAGTTAATAATACAAGGGTACTTACAATTAATATCGTTAAAAGTCAACATATGGCCAAATCTATGGCAGATTCAAGGTTAAGTTAACCATAAACCTTACCCTGAACTGGTTTGCAAATGCAATCTCTCGTTGGGTCTAGTGTTTGCTGATGGCTTTCGTACTAATTGATAGACCATTTTCTTCATACCTTCTTCAAATGTCTATGGATTTTTAAGAGTCTTTATGTGTTCTGCTCAAAATATTTTTTTCATTGCAATTTTGAGCACGATTACTCTTACTCATATTTAATTCATTAGAATGGTATTTTGAAGAGTTCTTTGGATTTGAATACATGTTTTACTAACATTTATTTTCATTTATCAGGATCAAGGTATAGTGCATAAAAGAATATGAAAATCGATTAAATAAGATATGCTTCTTTTAAAAGGCTGTTTGCTTGTATTTAAATCCAAAAAAAAAAAAAAAAAAATCAAGAAGACGAGGAAAAACTACAACCCTTTCACAACTTGGGAGATCATATATTGCTTATACCGTTTAGCGGGTATTTTATCAAGGTGCTAACTTTGGCTTATTTTACCAGTTTTGTAGTAAGCCGCTGAAAGGATCACTTCATTATAAATAGGGATTTGACCTATAGGACCGGGCTTGGTTTTTTCTCTACAAAAACCTTGTCGGTTTCCGTTCTGATTAATGGCATTAGGCTGAATACATATAACAATTTGTTTTTCCTAAATCTTTTTTCAGCGAGTAGAGGTATGAGGAACCCTTTCATTGATTTCCTGAGTTTGTTATATCAAAATGTAATAATTGATATTTGTCATAACTTCTCAATAAGCATAATGGTAATGTTTACTGCCTCTGAAATTCTATTCTTTATGTCTAGGCAATTTTATCCGTGAATGTAGTAAAACATTCCATTAATGTATGCAAATTATATAGGCCTAAATCAAATCCGAGGACTACAGTTACTGAAATGTATGTAGCCAAAATCAATGTTATTAAATCCTAAGGAATATATACAATTGACATTCATTGCAGCTCAATGCTGCCAAATGTACCTGTATTAAGTAACACAGAGTGAGTTATTCTTGTCCTCGGAGAAAGTGTGCTTATACTGAGGTTTGTTCCGCCTGACTGACAACTGTACATTGGATTTTCACGATTTGATATCTCTTTCGTGTTTCTTATATCAAGAATGGGCATGCATAAAGGATATATAATTGAAGGAAAATACACAAGGCTATAAAAAATATATAATTGGCTTTGAAAAGGCAAAAATTTAAAAGTGTGGTACCAGGTGAATTCGAACCCCGACTTTAAAATGTTAGTGTGCAGACTACAATAGTCAGCGTATATATCAACTGAGCTAGTCTGACTATATCATTAACCGGTATAAATTTGAAGCAGATTATCAAAATCAGGTTTCCTTATTTTTTGTAGGTTTTTTGTGAATTTCGACCCTAGGGCAGGGGTGCCCCTAAAAAAATCCTATCTTAAATTAATCCTTACATCCAAACCTATGAAAATATCACAATTTTATTTAGGGGCAGGCCTGCCCTGAAGGACTTCTAGGCCAAAATTCATGCAAAAATCAACACTTTTTCGGACAAAATGGTGTTAAGGCCAACTTTGGAGGTGTATTATAAAGAAATAGATAATAAATTTAAGGTATAAAATACAAATTTGAAAAATTTAGACATATATACGGTAGAAAACAACAAATAATGATTAATTATTCAATGTCACTTTTTCCGGGAAATTGTTCTCTCCTATAGGTCAATTCTTTTGTCAAAGCGAATACATCCTTTTAATCGCCAAATTTGACTCTTCATTATCACTACTGATCATGAATACAAGAAGCATTACTTTAAATAAATTCGATTAATCCGGTGAATTTGCAGTATATAATTAATCTGGTTTTATATATATTTAAAGGTTAGTGTAAATCGGTATTCAAACACATTAAATGTACGTTAACTTATCTACAAGATGAATTTTCTTTCTTTTACATTGTCACAAAAACTATGTCCGCCAAAAATATTTCCTCCAAAATTATTGGCATATCTTTGAAAGTAAAATTCAAAATTTTACACACGCTCAAGAAACCAGCTATTCGGTATTGGATTGTTGAATACTTTTTTGAGATAATCTAATTTAATTCAATGCTTAATATATTTTACTTTTCAGGCCTTCTATTTAAGTTTCTAATTCGGCTACAGTCTGTGGGTAAATGTTTAATATATTTTGAAATATTATAAAAATTTATTTTCTTTTAATAAAAAAAAATTCAAACTGTCCGCAAAAAACACAAGATGAAAATACTTTGAAGTGATAATTTTCAGATTTACCTATTTCTAAGAGTCATTTTGGCGCTACATAAAATATGAATGAGAAGATGACGTTTTCTCATTTTCTTGTTTGATAGACATGGCACCTACAACGGATGCTTCAACTCAGTCTGTGGAGAACGCTTTAAGATGCATTTTCTGTGACAGTGTGAACACAGTGGATGCATGTGTAGAAGAGAGGCTTTGTGCTCCAGGACAGGTTTTATTTTCTGAATAGTTATTTGGACTTAATTGCTCTTAACAATTGCTATTTTCTTTCATTTCCTGCATATGAAGTTGATATACCTCAGTTGATTCGATTCGCAAGAGCATGCTCTACGTATGAACAATTTCTAAAAAGGAGTAAGTTATCGACAAACAAGTTGATGAAATGGGATTATCAGCTGTCTCCTTTAAATTCATCATTTCGTAAGTTCTACGGACAATACAGTGACCTTTACAGCAAATACAATTTATCATTGAGTCAAATGCTGACTGACGTTTTTCATGCAAGTCTGTTATTAACCAACTGAATTGACAACGACAGAGAAAAAAAAAATTCTTGAGAAAAAAAAAAGATGTTTGTCTATAAACGAAGGATATGGAGGTAATGAATAGTGTTCAATATCACAGTCCATAAAACAACACAAAATAGTAGCAGAGCAAATACGGACTTTCAAAACATTGGAGGTGGGATCAGGTGCCATGGAGGAGTGAGCATCCCCTTCCGACCGGTCACACCCGCCGTGTGCTCCTTTATCAATTTCATCGAAACCTTCACACCCATTCAATAGATCATTAACTTCAAAGAAAAGGCACAAAGATTTACTCAAGATTAATTTATTGTATATTGTTTAACGTCTCTCTCGAGAATTATTCACTCATATTGAGACGCCACCACTTGCCGGTGGAGAGCTGCAAATTTTGTCCTATACCTGGCACTCGGGATCATTGAGCAGGGAGGGATCTTTTTCTTGTCAGTACCTTCTGCCACACGAGAACTTCGTTTATACGGTCTCATTTGAAGGACCGGTCTCCACGTCAGAGAGAGATTTCGAACTCGCGATGTAAGGATCAACTCGTTACCTCGCAACTCTAGAGCAGACGCTCTTATCTTCGCGTTACGGTCATTGTATCGACCATAGAACTTACGAAATGATTACTTTACACGAGACTGCTGATATTGTTGTTTCGTCAACTAGTTTGTCAATAATTTGTCTCGCTTTAGAAATTGATTATACGTAGAGCATGTTCTTGTCTATCGATTGTGGAGATAACGAACAGTATTCAATATCAAACGTCCATACATTTAAAACAATACAAAATAGGAACATAGCAAATTCGGACCTCCAGAACATCGGAGGTTGGGTAAAGTGAAATGGAGGTGTCAGAATCCCCTGCCGACCGATCACAACCCCCGTGTGTTCCTTGTCATGATCGGGAAATAACGCAAAAATCTATCGTCAATTCAGTATATAAATAATGAACTAACAATAAGTATGAAAAGAGTCAGCATTTGTTTCAATGATAAATTGAATTTGCTAATTATGTCATTGTATCAACCGTAGAACTTACAAAATATAAGGACTGTTGATATTCTGTTTTCATCAACTTGTTTGTCAGTGATTTACCTCGGTTTAGAAATTGTTCATACGTAGACCATGCTCTTGCGTATCGAATCAACTGAGATATGTAAAGTCTGCAGGTGATGAAGGTATATTGCTGCATAAGTATGGGAAGTTCACAATAGAAAAGTAAAAGTCATCACGTTTATTATAAGCTTGGTTGTTATATTACCATTAACGTTTTTCTTTTCACGTAAAATTTCCTAATATGAAACAGATGTGTCAGACTCCGTGGTTTCTTTGATCTTAAGCTCACCAGGATATATCGTACCGACTTAAGAATGGAAATTACCATTGATAATTGACAATACGTCCTTGATATCCCGGTATCTAAACGTCGTCTTCTTTTCACTCGTAAGATTTTGCACAAATCCTTCTTCATATGATTACAAAAAAATAGGTCCACTAATAACGGGGTGCAATTGGTACCCATGGAAATTTCAATCGATTGTTGGAAGACGTCTCCAAAAACCACATAGATATTGTCAATCAGAAATTCAAGCGTCTTTTCGATGTCAACTTCAGAGAAAATGAATGTACAATCAAATTGTTTTTGCCAAAATAATTTTGCAAATGACCAATAAAAAAGTTATTTAAATTGAGTAGGACAAAAGGAAGACGATCTTAACATTTTATCCTTCCAAAACAAGGGTGGTTTTAAATAAATATAAAATACATTCCAAATTGTTTTAATAATCAACTCAGACGTATAAAACACGTTCACAGTGAAAATAATTACCGCAATTGTTTAAAAATCTTTTCAGTATTGTTACCTTGACAAATACTCTGTGTTTGTTAGAGATGCTGAAGGCAGAGAAAAGGAAGTCATTAAATATAATGCAGGATGCCGAAGCTCTTCGGTAAATACTTAGTCAATCACAATCATTAGATATGTCAATTTATTCAATCAATTTTTTTTTTTGCCGTAGAAAAGTTAAAAATATTGATATGTTCTAATCAGTTTTTCTTTTATCTTTCAAATATCCTTTACAATTTTGATGGAAAATATTATCTCAAAAGATTTTATTCTTAGATTTGTCATTATGCGCAATGCTTACATGAAGCAATTCTTGCTGAAAGAAATCACTCAATTGGAACGAGAGAGATCATGGGTGCGGCTCATTGCACACAGTGTTGCACCACAGATAGATGTAATCTCAACCTTTGCGACTGTAACTATGATTTTTAGAATTTATCAGCTTCTTTACGGTATTTCATTTTTTGAGCAACTTTTTGGTTCATCAAAAAAAGGAAAGAAATCGTATAATGATCAAAAGAAAACAAGGAGAGAATCGAAAATAAAGAATCAGTTAAATTAGTTTTTCTGCTCTTTCATCAGCCTGTCTTTTAACTATGGGTTAGGGCGGGATCTCACTGGCTGCTCGTTATTACTTATCACTGTCACAGTGATTTGATTCATTGATCCAATTTATAAGATAAAGTAAAATTGAAGGTCGGTTTAATGTGCGGTTTTAGGTAACATTATCTTTCCCGATCGTTTATCATCTTGACTCATGGATTTGCAGTCGCAGGTTCTTCCAACTTTCTCTTACTAGTGAGATTTTTTTTTAAACATAGGTCATTTTTTTTAATTCGTTTTCCCTTTATTTTAAAGGAAGTTCTTTCTCTTAGGCCTAAATGATATCTTCTCTTTATGTCTTCCAGAAAGTCAATCATGAAGTGACAATTAACCAGTAGATTATCTTTATTGATATATCCAATATATAAATATATGTCCCACTTGTCTGTTTACGTGGAAGTGTCTTACAAGCACAACAAGTTTGCATTGGTATGTAGTCTGGATCCATATACAGGATAAAAATTTTCATAATTTTGAAGTCCTGTTCTATAGTTAGGATGATGTTTGAACTAAGGCAATCTCAAATACAGTCTAGTAAGCATGCATAGTTCTCATCTGCTTATTTGTTAAACAAATTTTTTTTATAGTTTATTAAAGTATCATTTGACAAATGGTCACAACACTAACCAGACGTTCATAAAATCCTTTCATCCATGATTTCATTTCCACTATGAATTGCCACTGAATCTCTTTATTTGCAATATAACTTTAGACATCTTCATCAGACATACGTGTTTTCTGACTCCTTTTCAACAGCAGGCTTTGAATTTTGAACTGAACACTATTACCGGAAATAATTTGTTTTGCCTTTCATCAACGCGCAATAAATATCCCTAGTCTTTGTAAACACTGCTCTTTAAACATGTCCTACTTGAGTCTCAAGATGTTTGGCGTTTACTACCAAGCATATAAATACATGTACACAAAAGAAAAATCCTTCTCAGGCAATTTGGGCAACCTTGAGTTTTTGAGCATTGATAGATTGACTAATTGATTGTGAATTGATAGATTGACTAATTAATTGAGCATTGATAGATTGACTAATTGACTGTGAATTGTTTTACGTCCCATTCGACAATTTTTCACTCATTTGAGACATCATATACAGATGAAGGGCTTCAAATTTTGACTTAACTCGACACACAGGGTCATTGATAAGTGAGGGGACTTTATCGCGTACTAACGCCTGCCGTGTCACCTTTCTCGGATTTTAAGATCTCATCCCAAGGACCCCAACTTTCACATCAAAGTGCAGAGCGCATGTCGAAGGCGAAGGAAAAGTTTTTACCTATTTTTCTTTCCACTTAGGGCAGTCGCTGCCGACATTCCAAATACTTAACGAATACGAAGTGAGCGATTTATCGACTGCTGTACCTCGAGGTTTTTTGTGCATAAGTCCCGAATTATTACAACTTTAATTTGTCCCAGTTGAATATATGTATTTTGAAACTTCGTGGTCTATCTCCTGGTTTTACTTTCTCTTTGAAAATCTTTTTTCTGCGCAAATTCTTAATTTTGGCTTCTTGGAAATGCAAAAGTTGTTCCTGTATCCTCGTTTGCAGTTCCATCATATGGTCTTTTCTTGGGTTATTTGATTTTTCATTTTCAGTGTTTTTCCAATTGCATCATGCTCCGTGTTTGTTCTGCTCCTATTTTGCTATTTCGCTATCTTCATTTAATTAGTCAATTTCAGACTTGATGTCACTTTTCCTTCTCAGGGAACGGAAAGTTCTTTAATAGTTTCCTCGAGTTTAGAACTTACTCTCATTACTGCCTCAAGAAAAATAGAATCTCTCTTAACTCGGTTGTCATATTCCCTCTTCAGCTTCTGAAAAAAATGCCTTAATCTTAACTATGTCTTAGATCAGCTAATTTTTGTACCTTTACAAATTTTATTCAAGTATGAAGATGACATTTTTTTTTCTTGGTAATTTCCTAATTTCAGGATCAATTATACCACAATCACAATTTTCATTATCTTTCTTCATCACATGGCAATTAAAGTCAAATACCAAATTCATAAGTGTTAACAATCTCAATACCATCACATATCTCAGATGTTCATTAGAAATGTATTTTCTGATGTGTTCGTGAGTGCAAAATAATCAATGATTCATATATTAACATAACCGTCAACGTAGTATGAAGAAACATCTAGAGATAGAAATCTCTGTGAAATCATATTTTTATATATTTTAGAGAATGCGTGATATTCATTCAAGTAATGATTATAACTTTAGATTATACATAATAATACTTAATCTATTAAAACAGAAAAAATAGTTGCTTTGGTTTATTTTCAGAAAGATCTATGATTTTTTTTTAAAAATAGTTGTTAATATCTGTACAAAAAGCAACTGTATCAATTCTTCCATTCTTTCTATATAAGATTGCTTTTCCAATTTTGTTAAATAGTCTTTCGTGAAAAAAACTGCCTTCAAATGAAATATATGAAACACGCCTTTGGAAATTAACTAGTCTTTATCCTATTCATTCCTATTTTCCTGGTGTGTGTCATAATTGCTATTTGGAGTCTGATCATCATCATACTTCAAGTTCTTTACGGACAACAGGCTCTGGTGCATTACGATGTTATGCTTGTTCAAACATAGAGGATCCTAACACCTGTCATGACGTCATGTATTGCCAACCTAACGAGGTGAGTTCTATTGTAACGCTCCTCTTTCTCGTGTTTAATGAACATGCAGAGTACTTTGACTACAAATATTTAAGTCTGAATGCTTGAATAAATACAACTGAGAAGAATTCATGTGAAATCCAAATTTGTTCTGAAAATCCTTCACAAGAGTAACTTAAGGCGCTTAATACCAGAAACGTTGTTAATACGGGAAAAATCAGACTGATCGTTACTAATTGATATGAATAAAACTGACACAATTTTTAACGGTTTTCTAATTTCTTAATGGTTAAACAATGGCGACAATAAGTATCACAAATATTTTAAGCAAAAAAGTAATTATGTCATTTTTTTAAATAACGAAATATCTTTGTGGTACTTTTAGATGCTTATATATTTTAGAACGTAAGAATGTTGAAAATACTGAATATCATTCTCATTTTCATGATTATGCAGAATGAATTTCCTCTAAAATTTATTTTATAAACAAATACGAAATCTAATGTTTTTTATAAAAAGTAATAGTTTCCCACTTTAAAAAGACAAGGGGGCATATCATTTACCAGAAAATTATTTCCAAAGAAACTTAGGGAACATACGGTGTAACTTGTCCTATTTTGTTCTTTTAAGCATTTACCTATGACAAAATGTCACCATTATCTATATTAAGACAGATCTTATATTTTTTTCATATCAAAGAAAAAATTAATTGTAAATTCCGAGACCTTAACGTGAGATCTTAAGTTTAATTATTCAAATGTAACTGAATTATTTGAGGAAAATGAGTCCATTAAATGTTAAATCCTCATATATTTTTTAGAACTGTTTAATCACCAAAGAAATGCGCATTAACCAAGACGGATCTTTAAGTCGAGTGTATCAACAAAGATGTGAGAGAAGACAGGTAAATTCATGAATAGACTTTTACCAATTATAATTGAAAAAATATTTTTAAATATTTGCTAGGTAAATGTCACATACATTTGAATAATTCATACGGATATCGACAGAGTGAAATGCGAATGAATTAATTCACAATTCCATGAAAAGTGCTAAAAGAAAATCTTAAAAAGGAATACACAAAGTTTACTTAATTATTTTGTTTAAGTTGTGCATAGCTGTTCATGAACATAACAGAATGCCCACCAATACACCTGAAGCCCAAACTATCATCAAACGGACGCCGCTCCCAATCCTAAGGTCGATCTTGTCTCATCGTCGCAGTCACAACTTGATACAGATTGCTGCGAATTGTTGCGATGCTGATTTTTGTAACAATTTAGCTTTTGGTAAGTGATGTATAAAACACCTTTTTTATTGAATACAACCCTGAGACTTCAAAACCGAGTTAATTTTATTGGAGATATAGTTACAGTTAAAAAAACAAAACCAAGCTGCAAAACTATAGCTGTCTGAGTAAGACAATTCGTGCAAAATCATGAATCTATCTGCTATTAAACTAAAAGTCAATTGGACTTACGAATACTAGTACCTGTATCAGAAGCAAATGAACGCCATCTATAACTAATGTTATATGACTTTTTGGCAAGATTTGGGAGAAACGCCAGTGTTTTATGTACGACTTGTTTGATTTTAGGAACTCTTTTGTTTTAGGAGATCGTTTTATGTATGTGAATTCGTTTTATGTTTTGGAGCCAAAACTTGTGTAATATAAAAACTCTCATCCTGTTAGTTTTTCCTTTATTAATGGCGAAAGGGGACTGGCTAGCAGACAAGAAGTAAATGCCACATTGTAAGACTGTCAAAATAATTACGTTTTAGCAATTTTAACAACTATAGAGGTCATAATGCTTCCAACTGTCCAACAAACAATGCAAATATATCATTTTACATCAACGAATAGTGGATACTAAATTTATGTAGTGAGGTAAGGTACGTCAAGAAAACAGATTATGTGCAGAGCAAGTTTATTGCAGAACTGCACTCGACAGGCACTCTAGAGGAACCAAAAGGGAAATGTATCTGGGATAAAAACGCTTATAAATGGAATATCATTACAGATAAAATTAACTGATCGTATGTTTTACGTCCCATTCGAGAATTTTTTTGTCATATAGAGACGTCACTAAATGCCTTCAAATGTCATTTACACGACACCCAGGAACATTTAGCAGTAAGGGTTTCTTATTATGCCACCGCCTGCTGTGAAACCGGGTATTGGTTCTTAAGTTTCGTCTAAAGGACCCGCAACTATTACTTCAAATTGACGAGTGCATGGCATTGAAACAGTACTGTTGCTACCTTTTTTATCGAGTTAGGGCAGTCGTGACCGAAATTTGAACTCACGACCTTCTGATCAAGTACCAAGCGTTCTACCGAATGAGCGGAGAGGATACAAATAGATTTTTGAAGGTTTGGCGCAATACAGGAAGGCTGAAGATTATCATTGTTGTTCGTGGGGGACCAATGTTGATTTTGTAGGTCGTCATTTCTCAGGAATTTTAATCCCCTTGAACAATTATTCCACACAATTATTTATTGAATCTCTTGAATATCTTTCACCCACAAAATGTCGTCCTACGAGCCATCAAAATTATGCTAACCCACGAACACCCCCATCCCAAATATAGAAATATAATGACTCCACTGTATTGTTAGTGAACAATGCTACTCAAGTTCCTTGCTTTCTAATTTTGTTTGTACCTGGATATTCTAAATACTAGATTGTATATCTTCTTGAAGAGTTATCATTGCTCTCATGTGTATAACCATACATGTATGTAAATCATATTCATGTACTAGTATTTAAGCTCATGTGCGTTATTGGAAGATATTTTAATGGTGCAATTCTGAATGCTGTTAAGAATCAATATTAGCTTTCTTTTTTATTGAAATTAATCTACAGCTTGTTTTCTATAAATGATCCCGAACACCATATTCATTATTTTGTAGATTTCACAATTGATGAATTCGACACAAGCTGTTTATATTATGCCCTGAAACAGTTGCATAGATGCAACTGTTAGGTATATGATTACGGAATTGGGGGGAGGGGAACAAAACATATGATTGCGCCCATGACAAAAGGGTCCTTATGGCATTTTTGCTAAAACAGAGAATTAACGTCATAAAGATGTGACGTTGCAGACTGACGGTGAACTTCGACGCAGATTTTTTTTTTAACCACGTGTTTTGACGTTTGACGCATCCAGAGTTTTTATCGCTGTTTCCAACATGTGGAATTTATTTTCATTTATAAATTAATTTAATCAATATCTGAATCTCCTAATCCACTGATTTTAATGGATATAAATAAAAACATTTAGAACTGGTTTCTTAACAAACATTATTAAATACGTCTCTATAATACCAATAGTTTAATTTTCTACATGCGTAATTAAATGTATAGAAGCTGTAGACAAGATGTTTTCTGATAGGACTTTGAACCTTTATACTCTAGATAAATTTTATTTACATATTTATACCATTTTTAGAATACATCTTAGACAGGGTATATTGTAAAAAATATTGCAAAAGAAAATTGTCTTCCTACTTCTTTGAGATCTCAAATATACATCGCGATCGCGTCGATCACATGTTAACATTGATTCATCGGTGCATACTACTTAAACTGTTGTTAAATTGTTTGTACAAATGTTGAAACTAAACATACATCTTCCACTTTTTTTTTTTTACAAATCTAGCAAGAATGTGTAAGAACGATAGTCAAGATTATTTGTATTTTCTATAAATAAAAATAGGAGAGATAACTCTGATGTCAACAATCGATGTAACAGGGGTACCAGACAGGGACATTCATTATTTTAATTGCGTACTTTTTCACATTTCAGCTGCATGTTCGCATGAATTTTCCACCGGATTATAAAAGAGATATATTATACAAACACGTAGTCATACACAGCCATATATTCTTTTTCAATGATAATAAGTTGAAATAATGATTTTATGTATATGAAAAAAAAAAATCTTTTTTTTTTTAAATGATGTCAAAATATAGACAATTTAAGAACTCTTCCATTTTACCAGATATAAGAAAAGATGAAGTTTCTTCAATTTTAATTTATCGTATCTTTATCAAAACTTTTTACAAAATCTCTTTCATATTAGACATGGGTCCAAAAACGAGTCCACAAGCGACTTCAGCGCCGGACAAATATTTATGTTGTTAGTAGATTAATTGTCATTTTACTGCAGAAATTTTACGGACAAATGGTAATGGAATGCTTTTGGAGTCATGTGCTTTCGCAAGTTTTGTTAAAGGTATCATTTCCTCAAAGATTTATTAATATTTTCATACAGCTTTGACAACAGGGACGATGACAACATCTAAAGAAACAACAATAATTCCCATACAGACAACAGCTCCAGCTATGCCGATCCAGGGAGCTGTTATTGGATAGAGATAACATGTTTAATTGGTATTAAAAGTGCTGATGAAATACCATGCTATATTTTTTTATGGCATATCAAGGTGTGCCCATTTCAGGTATTAGAAAACCAACGCAACCTGTCACATGATTTCTATCATACTCATACTCAAAATTAACTACAATTAACATAAAAATATTATCTTAGGCTGTTTTTTGTTTGCTGTTAAATGGCCCTCCCGATATATTTTTTATTTCATTTGGCTGTCAGGGAAAGAATGAATCTTGCAGCTGTTGCAGAAAAAAAATGAAAGTTCTTTACTGCATGACTGATACTGTTTATTCATAATTATACGCGATGAATTAATTTTCGCGTTATTTCGCGAGCAGCATTATTCGCGAGATTGAGCAACCCGCTTTTACATTTATGGTGCTAAACTCCATGTACATTCTCATTATTCTCGCGCTTTGGCGTTAAAGGTCTATTTAGCGATATAAATTACTGGCGAAAAATTAGGAAGTTACAGTGACCGGCGATAGCTTCTCCTAAGTATGAAAGATATAGAGATAACGAACTATAGTATAGATCAAAGGTCCATGAAATAATACAAAATAGGAGCAGAGCAAACAAGGACGTCCAAAACATCAGAGGTGGGATCAGGTGCCATGGAGGAATGAGCATCCCCTGCAATTAGTATGAAAAACATAAGTCAGCATTTTACTCAATGTTAAATTGTAATTTCTGACAAAGTCATTGTATCGACCATAGAACTTACGAAATGATGAATTTAAACGAGACTGCTGATATTCTTTTTTGTCAATAATTAACCTTGTTTAAGATATTGGTCATATGTAGAGCATGCTCTTGCATATCGAATCAACTGAGATATATACTAGTAAACTCCGTATGCAGATGATGAAGGTATATTGCTGCATAAGTAAGGCAAGTTGACGACAGAAAAGTTAGTCATATCACGTTTATTATAGCGCTTGGTTTTTAGATAATACTCAGTTACATTTACCGCTTTTCACTTGATATTGATGGAAAGGAAGTAAAAGCATGGTGTAATGCCTTTCAAAACTCATAATTGGAATGTATATGATTACCATATATTTTATAGAGATTTTTACTTAGTGATAGAATTTCTACGGGGAAAAGATCATAAGTGGAAATAGAATCCCATACGTAATCATTTATCTTTGATTGGGCAATCCCATCCATAGCCAATAATGTTCTGTGGAGTTTTCAGAGGTCCGCGTTCTATGTCCCGTTCACAGATTTGTATTGTCTGTGGAGCTTTTGTAGAACGGTCACTGTTCGTTGTCTCCACCTTATTCATAATCTTTAGTTTAGAGCCATTATCATTAGCGAAGGAAAAGGATAATTAAAAAATAGCTGCTTTTTCAGTAATGAATATATGCCGAATACTGTTCTATATGTAAAATTATCAGACTGTTTGAGGCCCGTTAGGGCCGAAAACTGTCTGATAATTATGTTCCCCAAACGAAGTTGGGGAACATATTGTTTTTACTCTGTTTCTTATTATTATTATTATTATTCCTGGGAAAATTTTGTCTTTGAGTGATCTTGTAAACTACACATCCGACTTAGGTAAAACCTTTTTAGGGTCACTAGGGATGTTATGTAGATTTGCCGAACGAAGGTCATTTTGCGCGCACGTGCTTGCAAGAGCGAGCACGTGCAACACGTTAAATGGCCAATATAAGGTATATTGACTTAACTTTTCTATTTTTTGATGAAATGCTTTGAAACTCATAATGTAAGGATATATTAGTAGTATAGACAAGATGACATGGTCAAAATAGCAAGATCTCACGCGCATGCACGTGCGCTTTGCTCTGATTGGCTGAAACTAAAGTCTCAATATCTTTCTTGTTTTTTGACGAAATCCTTTGAAATTTTCAACATAGCCATGCATTACGATATCCTACAACATGATATATAGCAATCATCATGAAAACACGTGTATGCACGTGCGCTGCAATCTGATTGGCTGAAACTTCAAATAGCTATATCTCTCTAGGTTTTCAACCAAACAGGATGGGTTTTGGAACATAGATACATATAATGGACTTCTACAAGAGGGTATGGTCACCATGCACATGCATACACGTGCGTGTACTTGCGCTGCAATCTGATTGGCTGAAACTTAAAACAGCTATAACTCCCTTGATTTTCAACCAAACAAGATGGGATTTGGAGCATAGTTATATATAATGGACTTCTACAAGAAGGTATGGCTACCATGCACATGCATACATGTGCGTGTACGTGCGCTGCAATCTGATTGGCTGAAACTTTAAATAGCTATAACTCCCTTGGTTTTCAACCAAATGGGGTGAGATTTAGAACATAGATAGATGTAATGGACTTCTACAAGAAGGTATGGTCACCATACTCATGTATGCACGTGCGTGCACGTGAAATGGGTAAAATAAAAAATACACTTGAATGAGCGTTTTTTTTTTTTATACTTTTGGATTAAATACTTTGATATTTAGCATATTAAAATATATAGATCGTGTAGACAATATGATATGGTCATTACGCACATGCATTAACATGTGTAAGTGTGCAATGATAAAATTTGAATGAACATAGTACACTTTTGGGTAAACGTTGTTAAAGTCTCAAATGCATAGACTTTGTCTTATTTAATTACGCTTACAGGGAATATGACTATAAAAGGGAGTTGGGGAGCGTTTGGGGAACATCTGTAACGGTCCCCGTTACAATTAGCACTAGTTTTACATATAGAATAGTATGAGGCATATATCTTACTTAAAACATTGCCATTTAAATGTCCAAAAGTTACCTGGAGGAGTCCGATAATAACACAATGGGAGTTTAGGCATCAATCGTTTTCTACCCATCTGATAAGTAGATAAAAGAAATGAGTGAACAGTAAAAGAGTGAGTGAACTCTTGTTTCATTCATTTCATTCATTCAATGGCAGTCGTTTCGTTTAGCAGGATAGGGATACGGTGGTGAAATATTTTTTGGGGGAACATTTTTATTTATGATGTGCATTAATTGACATTGATACTGACATAATTTTAGGTGATATTATAACCATCACCATGGCAAGTAAAATGCGGATTTGTAACCTAGCTGAATTTTTAGCTTAGATATTGGAAATTCTCAGGTTTTGAAAGCGTGGCCATTGGGGAACAAACATAAAAGGAAATTGCAGAATCTTTTTTTCAGAAATGGATTTAAATTCGCTTATTCAAAGTGCTGAATCAAAAACTCTTTTAAAGAGTGAAAATTAATGTTGTGGAAGGTTTAAACTCGGATTTTTTTTCAAGGATTTGCTATTTTGTATTGTGATCAACTTAATTTCCTTGCATTTGGTTTCCCTGAATTTTTTTCCTAACATTTTTATTGGGGGTTTCTGAACACATTTCATCTTAATTTCACTGTTCTTTTTGTTTTTTAAATACCGTCCGATTTTGTTATCATTGCCGTCCGATAATATATTATCAGACTGTTAATTATTATTATCGGACGGCTACAGGTAAATTTTTAGACTGCAAGAACAAAGGCTTGACGTCACAGCAATGTTTTAAGTTTATTTATTTGCTTGTGTTTTTCTTATTCCATGACTATATCCATTAATTGTACCTTATATTAAAAGTAAACTTTTATGACAAAAGAAATGTTTTAAGATTTTCCTTGATCGTCAACATTCATGCAGTATTATTCTACTATAAACTGCATGTGGATTATTTATCCACACTGTTCAAGTATGCAAGAGCATAATTATTCTGAATACGATTATTTTTAATAAGTACAGATTACTTACAAGAAGGATATGGAGATAACGAACAGTATTCAATCTCAAAGTCCATAAAACAATACAAAATAAGAGCAGAGCAAACACGGACCTCCGAAACATCAGAGGTGGGATCAGGTGCCATCCCCTGCTAACCGGTCACACCCGCCATGTGCTAATTGTCATGATCGTGAAATAACGGAAAAATCCGTCATCCATTCAGTGTATAAATAATGGACTAACAATAAGTATGAAAAATATCAGTCAGCATTTGATTCAATGATAAATTGTATTTGCTGACAAGGTCATTGTATCGACCATGGAACTTACGAAATGATGACTTTAAACGAGACTGCTGATATTCTTGTTTCATCAACTTGCTTGTCAATAATTTACATTGTTTTAGAAATTGTTCATACGTAGAACATGCTCTTGCGTATCAAATCAACTGAGATATATACACTCCGTATGCAGGTGATGAAGGTATATTGCTGCATAAGTAAGGAAAGTTGACGATAGAAAAGTTAAAGTCGTCAAGTTTATCATATAACGTGGTTGTTAAGTTACCATTAACGTCTTTTTCAAGTAAAATATCCAAGTATGAAACAGATGTGTCAGACTCTAAGGTATCTTTTATCTCAAGCTCTCCTGCATATATGGTATCGACGTAGGAATGGAAATAATTACCATTGTTAATGGGCAATACGTCGTCGATATATCTGAAGGTCGAATTGAAGGCCACAGCAAGTGTTTTCTTCTTATTTTACAAAAAGTTAAATTGTCAAAACTGTCATTTTTTGTTAAAATTTTCTTAACTCTATAATCTATAAGATGACCTTGTTTGCAGATACAGCTTATTCTTATGTTGTATTTGGCTGCTCTTTTGACTTCAGTTGTTTTTCGGTTTACGTGATCAATACAAAGGGATCACGGTGGAAATGAGAAATGACAGACGACTATAGGTTTTTCCTCCTTCTAATCCCCTGGTCACAGCTCTTGTGTTTCCAAGTGTTCCTGTTCCTGCACTGTTGACTATTCATGTTGTTTTAAGTGGTATGAAATGATCAACCTTCTCGAATATAACCTTTTTCAACTTTTTCATATTCCCTAATTTGTTGAGGTAAAAGAAATGTAAAGTACATATATGTAATAAGTGTACGGGAACGTTTAGTCTGTGCTCTAAAGGTATATAGTCCAATATATAATTCTTATTATTATGATATATTTGGTCAAACC